CAGATCGAACAGACATAGAGCAGCTGATAAAGGAGAGCATGACGCCTGACAATATCGTGGGGCACATGATAAACTCAAAAGCGGTGTGGAGCAGAATTAAGGCGTGGTCCGCAATAGTCCTCCAGGAGCTAAGAGCGAAAGAACGACAGCGCAGTAGCGAAAAGAGAAGACTGAACGAGAGATAAGCCAGAAAGGCGTGTGTGAAGAGCCAATTGGCAAAGCTACGCCTTGCGACGTAATACCTAACGGCGGTCCCGCAAGGCGAAACACAAGGCTTCAGACGTCGGAGTTAAGGGTTTAGTACGTAGGCGCGCTGTCTCGCAAGTCCTGAATTATGTGATAACATAGTCTGGGCGTGGTCCCGAATGAGGTGCACCCTTAGCGGACAGGATGACGAATCGTGCATAACATCTTTGGAAGATTCCCCCTCCGTTGAAAAAAAAACATACATACATACACACCAACGCACAAACAAAGGCACAGCATCAGCCCGGACACAAACCGAACGGTGATACAGCTTTTACCACGCAACCGGTGCAGTGGTGTGCAATAAAATAGCAGTGCGTAAAATTGCGTACTTGTTTTCACCAAAATAAACAGCTATATAAGTTAGGTAAAATTAAATTAAATTAAATTAGATTAAATTAAGTTAAGTTTAATTGAATTAAATTAAATTAAATTGAATTAATTTGAATTAAATTAAATTGAATTAGTTTAATTTGAGCTATGTTAAATTAAATTAAATTAATCTAAATTAAATTAAGTTAAGTTAAATCGAATCAAACCAAATTAAATTAAATTAAGTTAAATTAAAATTAAATTAAATTAAATTAAATTAAATTAAATTAAAATTAAATTAAATTAAATTAAATTAAGTTAAATTGAACCAATTTAAATTAAACCAAATTAAATTAAATTAAATTTAATTAAATTAAATTAAATTAAATTAAGTTAAATTAAATTAAATTAAATTAAATTAAATTAAACTAAATTAAATAAGTTAAATTTAACTAATTTAAGTTAAATTAAATTAAACTAAATTAAATTAGATTAAATTTATTAAATTAAATTAAATTAAATTAAATTATACTAAATTAAATTGGATTAAATTAAATTCGATTAATATAAATAAAATTAACTAAATTAAAATTAATTAGATTAAAGTAAACTAAGTTAAATTAAATTAAATTAAATAAGTAAATTAAAGAAAACTTAACTAAGCCAAATAAAATATTAGATTAAATTAAACGAAAGTAAGCCGCTGTAGCGAAACAATTTGTATAAATAAACTAAACTTAATAAAACCAATTAAAAACAAAATATAATTACCTGTAAAAAAAAAAAATACGAAGGTGGTGCTAAGTGTACTTTCACTTACTCACCCCGTGGCGAGGAAGTGATAAAAATTAAAAATGGATAACGGAAGCAAAACCAAGGCACCGCGATCCAACCCCCGTCCGGGGAGCGGAATGACCCCACGATCTCCCGCACGTACCACGTTACTGGACACGCGACCAGCCAGTGACAATACGGATATCGCGAGTTCCAATTACGTGGTGGATTCTGCAGGGTCACCAGCAGCACCCATGGATAGCGGAAATGCAGCTGACTCTCAGAGAATCCAATCGATCGAGAACTCAGCTGAAATGTACAACGTCGCCTTCCGTATGATTGGGGAAAAGATCGGGGAACTGAGGAAGATGATGGACAGCCAGAGGCACGTGAACCAGCAAATGAAGTACGTCCTAACCAGCATCTCGAAACTCTTCGAAATCGTTGAGAGTAATGATCCAGAAAGAACCTCAGTTAGTTCTTCAGTGAAATCGACTCAAACAGACCGGCCAGTCAAAGGTGATAAAACAGGGAACAAGGACAGGTCGGCGAACGAACCCACACCCGAGAACCACCCACAACAGAAAGGAAAACGCATTCGTGTTACCTCACCTCGAGCACAAGCAGAGAAAATGGATCGCCAAACTCGTAGCAGTGATCAACCAGCAACTGCTGACAACGCAGCCCAGGAGCCAAAAGGCGATAACCAGTCATTATGCTCCAACGTTACCACAGCCACCTTAAATATGGAGTGGACTAAGGTGAAACCGAAAAGACGGCAGAGAAAAAAGCCAGCCCGCTGACATTTTGAAAATGGTAAAGAGCGAGGAAAGCCTGAAGGGTCTAGGCGAAACTGTGCGGAAGATGTGGAAAACAGCTAGGGGCGATCTCCTGTTTCAGCTGAACAAGTCTGAGGACGCAAATACTGCGAAACTTCAAGGGGCAGTCGAAGGAGTACTGGCAGGTAAAGCAGAAATCAGGACCCTAACTGAAATGGTTCATATAGAGATACATGATATCGACGAAGTTACGACAAGCGAAGAGGTGTGCTTAGCTTTAAATGGCCAGGGTGGGTCCCCTAAAGTGCAAGTATCCGATATCCGGTCGATGCGAAAAGCGTACGGAGGCACACAGACCGCAACCTTACTCCTATCCGAGAGCGTTGCTAATAAGTTAGTGGCCCAAGGTAAAATCAGAATTGGCTGGGTTATCTGCCGAATAAGACATAAAATACAGCCAAAGCGCTGCTACGAATGTTTTGAGTTCGGCCACATATCCAAGGCCTGTCGAAGTAGCGACGATTTTGGCAAATCGTGCTTCAAGTGCGGTCAAAGTGGGCACACGGCCAAACTATGCAAAAATGCACCACGGTGCTTATTATGCGTAAAACGTGGCAGCATTTCTACAAGCAGGCAGGAGGCAATAAATGCCCGGTATATCAACAGGCGCTAAGCAAAGTAAAGGTATGATAAGACTTTTGCAGCTTAGAAAAAATTGATATTGCGATACTCAGTGAGCCATGCAAACCGAAATCGTCACAGTGCTGGCTTCAAGATCAAAGCGGAAAAGCGGCTCTCTGGTCATGTGGGAACCCAGCACGCTGGATGCAAGGTGCCGTGTCCGAAAATGGTTTCGTTGGTGCAGAAATCGGCAACTTGTACGTATACAGCTGCTACATTGCGCCAAGCATAAGTATACAGGCATTCGAAAATATACTGTTGAATATAAAAATTGATGCTAGAGGCAGGCAGAATGTTCTTATAGCAGGCGACTTCAACGCGTGGGCGCAAGAGTGGGGATGCCGCAGTACAAGCCCAAGAGCTGGAGCTCTGCTGGAGGCTTTCGCTTGTTTGGACGTCGTTCTACTAAACACGGAATCTGAACACACCTTTAGCCGAAACGGTTTTCGGTCAATAATAGACCTGACCTTTATCAGTTCCGGGCTATATAGATTCACTGAATGGAAACATAGCATGTGTTATACGCAAAGTGATCATTCAGCTTTAATTTGCAGTATCAACTGCAGACGAGAACTGTCTAAGCGGACTTACAACCCCGGAATATCGCACGGCTGGAAAACCAGTACTTTAGACCCCGACTCGTTTACCAGCATGCTACCATCCACCGTTTACCAAGGGTCAGCAGACTCTATGGCCGAACACCTAATGGCCGATATTCGCGGAGCATGCGATGCTTCAATGACCAGGAGAACTTCCTCCACGTATCGTCATGCGGTTTACTGGTGGAACGATAACATAGCGGACCTGCGAAAGAAATGTCTAAGATGTAGGCGAAACGCTCAGAGAGCTAGGGAAAGAGACAACTTCGTGGTACTTCGTGCGGCTTATAAGAGTGCACGCGACGCACTAAAGAAAGGAATTCAAGAAAGTAAGCGGCAATGCTTTTTAGAGCTTTGCTATGGTGCTGAACGGAATCCTTGGGGCTCGGCTTACAAAATTGTCTCAAAAAAGCTGAAAGGCAGAAACATGAATCCGACAAACGCTGCATACCTAAAGTCCGTTGTGGAGACACTATTTCCCGTACAGAGGCCGTTAGTGTCCACTATGGATGGTGATCCGTTGAGTGTTGTTGACCCTGTAACGGAAGAAGAAATAACACTCACAACAGCTAAAGTGGAAGTAAAGAAAGCTCCTGGCCCGATGGTGTGGCCAACATAGCTCTAAAGCTTGCAGTCCACCAGTGCGCTTCCTCATTCCTACAAGTCTTTAATGGATGCCTAACGAATGGAACTTTCCCTCAAATCTGGAAGAGGCAAAAGCTTGTTTTAATACCTAAGCCGGGTAAACCTCTGGATGATCCCTCAACTTTTCGGCCTATTTGTCTGCTGGACACAGCAGGTAAAATCCTGGAGCATATAATTGCCAAGCGTCTCGACAGGGAAGTTCAAGAGAAAGGGGGAATATCGGCAAACCAATTCGGGTTAAGAAAAGGGAAATCCACTGTGAATGCGGTAGAAGAATTCATTAAGTTAGCACGGGATGCAACGAGCGGTACACGGCAGTTAGACGTAAAAAACGCGTTGAACTTTGCCAACTGGGCTAAAATACTCCATAGACTGGAGAGTATTGGAATTTCTTATTATCTTCGAAGACTAATACGAAGTTATTTCCACTCGCGAGTGCTGTGGTACGAAACGGAGGAAGGCCTGCAGCGGGCTGAGATAACAGGTGGCGTTCCACAAGGATCCGTACTAGGCCCTTTACTATGGAACATTATGTATGATGGAGTTCTTCGTACCGAATTGCCCGAAGGATCATCCATAGTAGGTTTTGCAGACGACATTGCGGTAGTAGTATCTGCGAAACTTCTCGATGTCATATGCGAAAAGGTAGCATCATCAGTCGGCGTGATTAAAAGTTGGTTAAATAGCTTCGGCCTGAAGCTAGCCGAGCAAAAAACAGAAGCAATACTTATCTCGAGTCCTAAGAAACTAGAGGAGGTAGCGCTAAAAATTGGCGACCATACCATCAAAACGAAACCCACAATTAAATACCTGGGAGTGGTGCTAGACAAGCGTCTTACTTTCAGCGCCCACTTGAGCTATGTGAGAGAGAAAGCAGCTTCCACGATCACGGGACTATCTCGAATAATGCTTAATACGCGAGGACCGAAACAGCGCAGACCTTTACTCTTAGCGAGCGTGGTTAAAAGCCAAATACTGTATGCGGCCCCAATTTGGTCAAACGTAGCGCAGTGTCCCGCATACTTCCGCAGAGTAAACTCAACATACCGTTTATGTGCGCTCCGAGTTTGCAGCGCCTTCAGAACAGTGTCGGACGAAGCAGCTTTCGTAATCGCCAGTATGATACCCGTAGATATACTGGCGAGAGAATCGACGGTCCTTGCATCCACACCGCGTACTCTAACTCAATTAGACCGACGTCAAGCCCGGGAAAGCAGCATTAGGGAGTGGCAAAACAAGTGGAATAATACGACTAAAGGTCGTTGGACCTATCGCTGCATACCAAATCTGGTATCCTGGTTTGATAGAACACATGGCGAGGTAGATTTTTATCTTAGTCAGTTCTTTAGTGGTCATGGCTGTTTTAAGGCATACCTATTTAAATTCAAACATGAGCGCGACCCGTACTGCGACTTCTGTCGAAATGGCGTGGAAGAAGATGTGCACCACGCATTCTTTGACTGCCGTCGATTCCATCAGCAGATGAACCAATTGAAACTAGCTGTTGGAGGGGTGTTTACGCCACAGTCAGTAGTCGACTATATGGTGAAAGGAGCCAGCGAATGGGCGTCAACCAGCGACACACTAACTTCAATTTTAAAGGAACTGAGGGACCTAGAGAGACAGCGGCGTATCACCCGTGATTAAGCCAACTCTTAGCATAGCCGCGGACTGTAACCAAACCATGATATTCACCAGCCAAAGCGTAGGCGCGGCCTGGAACCTAGACCGTTCCAGCCGCCCGAGTAAGACAGCTAAGAAACTTGTGCTTTCAGACCGTCCCTTGAACATGAAACTTACCAATTAAAGCGTAAGCGTGGACTGGAACCTAGGGCGTTCCAGCCGTCCAGGTGGCAATCTCGAAAACTTGTGCAATCGAAAAATAGGCGCGGACTGGAACCTGGGGCATTCCATCCGCCCAGGTGGCAATCACGAAAACTTGTGTTATCGAAAAATAGGTGCGGACTGGAACTCAGCGCGTTCCAGCCGCAAATAAAGTGCAGCTTCGAATTTCGCGCACACGGGGCGTTGGTGCGGATTGGAACCTAGACCTGGCGCAAAGGCAGTATACATACATACGTTTACGGGCCTGAAACTCGTCTCTAATGCAAGCCTGCTCAATACAATACCAGCATAAGGCATGCCGTCATTTTAAGGTATCTGCTCTTACTGCCTATATATAAATAAATAAATAGTTAAAAAAAGGGGTTTCTCTTTAAACAAGACGTGGCAAAGCCTACTAGGTGTAGCCCAGGACTGGAACGAACANAGCCTGCTCAATACAATACCAGCATAAGGCATGCCGTCATTTTAAGGTATCTGCTCTTACTGCCTATATATAAATAAATAAATAGTTAAAAAAAGGGGTTTCTCTTTAAACAAGACGTGGCAAAGCCTACTAGGTGTAGCCCAGGACTGGAACGAACATGCGAGCCTAGTGCTCAACCGCCTCCCGACGAAATACTTGACGGTGGTACCGCGGGGTTCGGTACTTGGACAGTAGGAGGTTTAGTTCGGGTTAAAGTCCCACACTGACGGGTATAGGCTTACGATGTTTCCTCCTCGTAAAAAAAAACAGCATCAGCAATCCAGGCAACGGCAAAGTGGCGTGATCCAGCGCGTAAACAAACAAGCGTGCACAGGGAGAATGCAAACAAGACACCATCGGCATATGTGCATACATACATATATATATGCAGCAGCACGTAAACAAAGGCACAGGGCCCAACACTGCAGGCAAAAGCAAGGTGGTGTGATCAGGCGCGTAAACGAACTAGCACACCGACTACGCAAAAGTCTTTAGAACAAACAAAAACACATGGTGGGACATATCTACAGGCATATATACTTACATACAGCGCACATACAATAGACATCAACACACAAACTATGCCGTGATCAAGTGCCTTAACGCAACCAACAACACCCAACAAGCCAAAAGGCAACAACTATGTACAGCAACGTTAACCAGCCAAGTTGTGCCGCGTTTAGATAAAAAGGCGGCCAAGAAACGAATATCGATCACAGCACACCATGTCGTCATACACTTCAAGCGAAGGAAACGAATACTCCGCCGAATACTCAACCAACGACTCCTTACGGGTTAGGTTGAGGAGGACGACGGCACCAGAAGACGAAGGAAACAAACCCCGGTCAGCGAGAGGCGGCAGTACAGACGACGACGAAACAGAGGTGTTCGGCGAACTAGGGGATAACAGGGAGGGAGAAGGGGCGTTGGAAAAAGCCCCCAACCCCATAGAAATTTCTAGAGAATTTTTACCGACACCACCGCAAGTACCCCAGGAGAAGAACCGCCACCGCAGCGGTATATTTGCGAGGCCATCAGCAACACTACACAAGACGACCGGGAGATGAGCTTGATGGCGAGCGAGGGTTTACTCCGCGAAGTCGATGAGATGGGCGAGATAATGAAGTGGCTGGACCCCAAAGAGGCTGAATCCACAAACCAACTGCCAACGGAGCCAAAAGAAGACCTACGGCGACACCTCCAGCAAGAACGGAAGCCAGGCACCAAACAGTCGTTCCGAAGAAACGCAGAAGGGCGTTGGTACCGCATCCGCATTTCACGAGCTGGAAACGTTACGGTAACAAACGCCTCTCCGAAGTAGAGGGGGTGTGACGACCCCAATCCTAGGGCTTCGAGCCCCCACAACACATCTATATATACATATAATATTTTGAACTGTACATAAAATATATATACACAACTGTATATAGACGCTAAGTAATACATATTTTGAATTGAATTGAATAGACATTGAAAATACATACTTTGAGTTGTAGCCACATATATGAACAGGAATATCGTACAGCACTAGTGATTGTGAACGACCGTTATTATTCATATAGTCATATACATACAATTGTACATATACTTTAAGCACGATGGCAACAAAGAACAAAGCACAAAGGACAACGGGACATACGCGACGCGACTGCGGCGCGCAATTCGTATAAGTAGCTGGCCAGTAATCGAAGCAGACAGGAGTCGTCAGGCGACTGCTACAGAGCTAGGAGCCTTAGCACGCTTAGGGTAGGCTATACTCCCTATGCTAGGTATCAGAAGACGGACAGGTTCTACTCCCACTCCTACAGATCTCAGCCAGGTATTTAGAGACGGGAAAGTTCTACTCCCTCTCTTGGAAGGTTTTGGGTAGGTTCTACTCCCGCTCCTTTACTATAGCCGTAATTATATTTGGTGGGACGGAGCTACGCCCATCAACTGGAGAGGAACGGGTAGGCTCTACTCCCGTCCTCTTAACGTATGACTAAGACGGAAAAGTGCTTTGCTATAAACCGAAAACGAACTCTTATTATTTTTGTTGAGAACCCGGTAGCCGATGAGCATACCCCAGCATAACTCGGTGTTCGTCACAACACTTGCATACGTTTTTCGTCTATCGTATGAAGATTCATAATAGGGGGTGCGTTTTTGCAAATCGCTTTACGAAACCTTTAGCAAATTAAATTAATATTAAAAAGGGGTTGGCTTTATACGGAATTATGGAAAATATGGGAGGTAGAGGGGTCTAATAGTTGTCTGCATGATACAAAAAAGAAGGTAGTTTCACATTGACATTTTTTGTCATAAACTGCGCTTATGACGTTTATACTTTTCGCAAATTGCTCAAGTAAATAGCTCTGCCACTTCATTAAATTATTGGTTTGGAAATTTTAAGATTTTTTTAAGGTATTTTTTATGCATTAACAAATAGTAACACGCAAGGTAAATTTACTTATTCATCGTATTAGTAGAGCTATTAATAAGTGTGTATTGCTTTAAAATTCCTTAAATTACCTTACCACAAAAAAGTGGGCATTATCTGCAGTAACACATGAAATATTTAGGGTCTTCATATAAAGTGATAAAGCGATAAGTTGCTTAAATTTATCACTTTATCCGCATTCTTAAGTTCTGAACACATTGAAAACGACAAG